TCTGCCACCCGTCACACACACCTCCCACCCACTGGCAGACTTCCGCCCTAAGCACACACAAAGCCTCAGTCCAGAGATCAACTGTCTCAGCTCTGCAGTTGTATGTCCTGTGTATAGACTCGCTGAGCACAACCTCTGCCCAGCCTGGCGTGTGCATACTTCTCTCTCACTGTCAGGGGAGGAGCCCGTCCTGGCCCTCCCATTGGCCTGTAGATTCAACTCCCCTGGGCAGAGCCCCAGGGCCCAGGATCATCCTGTGCCCTCCACTCAGGCACAATGGTAAAAATGGTGCCTATCCTGCTGTCTCTGCCACTCCTTCTGGGTCCTGCTGTCCCCCAGGGGACCCAAGATGGTGAGTGGGGAAAGCAAGGGGTGGGTGCTGGAGAGGACTGGGAGGAGGTGAGGAACAGGACATGTGGCTGGGAGAAGGGCCGGATGCAGCTGGGACTCCCGGGCATCCGGTAGGAACGGGTGCCCCAGGATGCCATCTGACTCCGCTCACACTCCCAGGAGCATTCAGGGAGCCTCTGCCCTCACCCTAAATAAGACCTTCAGGAATCTGAATCTAAAACCCTTAGTTTACAGTAAAAACAAAGACTCCAAAGACCAAGTGACCTGCCTGGGGTGAGACAGCCAGGACGGAGCAGGAAGCACAGGCCTGGAGCTGCTTCTGCTCCCGATGGCCGGGTACACCTGCCTGACGCTGAGGGAGAGAGAGAGCAGCCCCAAGGGGAAAGTGAGAAGGCAGGTCAGCTGGAGGGATGGTGCTAGAAGGAAACCCGTGCCCTCACCCCACACTCAGACACGGGAGTGGTGGGTGTGGAAGGTGAGTAGCCTGAAGAGAAGACGGTGGGAGCTTGGGGAGATCAAGAGTCACTGCTAGGACGGGGCAGGAGGCTGTGTGTGGCATGGGAATGTGCAGGAGGAATACATGGAAGCGAATGGCTTCCCAGCTGTGTGAGTCCAACATTCATGACACACATTGTCAGAATAGCTGTTTCATGTTCGTTTTGTAATAACCACATTCAGGATGTGGTTAGGATGTTAATCCCACTCTGCACCAAAATCTGAATTATTTGGGGTTCTCCAGAGAAACAAAACCAATATACATTGTATACACACGCACATACAATATACACTGTATATTCATATACACACCAAATATATACGTGTGTGTGTACAAAAGAGAGAAAAAGAGGAGTTTTATCTAACATTTCTTATGGCTCACACAATTCTGAGGGCTAAAAGTCCTAAATCAGCAAAGCAAGCTAGCAGGCTGGAGACCCAGGAAAGAGTTGGTGTTGCAGGCCTGAGTCCAAGGGTAGTCTGGAGCAGAATTCTTTCTTCTTTGTGGGACCTCAGCCTTTTCTCTGGGTGCCTTCCACTGATTGGATGAGGCCCACCCACCTGGGACTTGAGCCCAGACAGCTTGAAAGCTGCCAGAGTCTACGCCAGCGGCACCAACCAGTGCTGGATAAACACCTCTTTTATCATCAGGATGAAGAGGCTGTGTCCCCCGCCCTAAGGAGGTCCATTTCTGAGAGTTGTGGCTAATGGGCAGGAAGGTTGGGACTTTAGAGATTTGTGATAAAGATATCAACACCAGATAGGAAGAAAGAAGTGATCAGCTGGGCAGGGTGGCTCACGCCTGTCATCCCAGCACTTTGGGAGGCCCAGGCAGTAGGATCACCTGAGTTCAGGAGTTCAAGACCAGCCTGGCCAACATGGAGAAACCCTGTCTCTACTAAAAATACAAAAACTGGCTAGGTGCAGTGACTCATGCCTGTAATCCCAGCACTTTGGGAGGCCGAGGCAGGAGGATCACCTGAGGTCAGGAGTTTGAGACCAGCATGGCCAACATGGCAAAACTCCATCTCGACTAAAAACAAGCCTGGGCCTGGTGGCCCATGCCTGTAATCCTAGCTACTTGGGAGGTTGAGGCAGGAGAATCACTTGAACCTGAGAAGCGGAGGTTGCTCTAGCTTGGACAACTGAGCAAGACTGTCTCAAAAAAAAAAAAAAAAAAAGATCTAGACCTCTAGATCACCCAGAACCAGAGGCTGGTCCCACCCATGTGACTGGGTCAGAGGGCTTTGACTTTGGGGGCAAAGGGAGCACGTGAGAAAAAGGCCAAGGGGTAAGGACTGCTAAGGTCATGGGCGAGGGAGGCCACATCTGCGTGAGCTGAAGAGACACGAAGGATGTGTCCGGAGAGGTGCAGCAGGGAGGGCGTCCCTCAGGAAGCCTGGCATGGTGTCGCCACCACCGCGTTGGGAAGAGTGTGGGGGCTGGCCAGGCAGCGGGTCGTCACCGGGACCTGCCTCCACCTTAGTCCCTGCTTAGGCCACTTGTCTGTCACTTCTGCTCTTTTTTTCTTTTCTTTTTTCCTTCTGTCCTCCCTCCCTCCCTCCCTTCCTTTCCTTCTTCCTTTTGAGACATGGATCTGGCTATGTTGTCCATGCTGGTCTCAAACTCCTGGCCTCATGTCATCTTCCCACTCGGCCTCCCAAAGGGCTGAGGCTACAAGCATGAGCCACCAAACCCAGTCTCTTTAATGTTTTTTTTTTTTTTTTTGAGGCGGAGTTTTGCTCTTGTTGCCCAGGCTGGAGTGCGGTGGCATGATCTCGGCTCACTGCAACCCCCGTCTCCCGGGTTCAAGCGATTCTCCTGCCTCCTGAGTAGCTGGAATTATAGGCACCCACCATCACAATCGGCTTATTTTTGTATTTTTAGTAGAGATGGGGTTTCAGTATATTGGCCAGGCTGGTCTTGAACTCCTGACATCAAATGATCTGCCTGCCTCGGCCTCCCAAAGTGCTGGGATGACGGGCATGAGCCACTGCACCCAGCCTTAATCAGATTTTTTTTTTTTTTTTTTTTTTTTTGAGATGGAGTCTCACCCTGTTGTCCAGGCTGGAGCGCAGTGGTGCAACCTTGGCTCACTGCAACCTCCGCCTCCCGGGTTCAAGCAATTCTCCTGTCTCAGCCTCCCAAGTAGCTGGGATTATAGGCACTTGCCACCACACCCGGCTAATTTTTGTATTTTTGGTAGAGATGAGATTTCACCATATTGGCCAATTTGGCCTCAAACTCATGACCTCAGGAGTAATCAAACCCCTGATTACAGGCATGAGCCACAGCACCGGACCTTAATCAGATTTTTTTTTAAAAAGAAGTGGGAAGGGCTGGGCACCGTGGCTGACATCTGCAATCCCAGCACTTCTGGAGTCCGAGGCGGGTGGATCACGAGGTCAGGAGTTCGAGACCAGCCTGACCAACATGGTGAAACCCCGTCTCTACTAAAAATACAAAAGTTAGCCAGGTTTGGTGGCACATGCCTGTAATCCCAGCCACTTGGGAGGCTGAGGCAGGAAAAACGCTTGAACCTGGGAGGCAGAGGTTGGGTGAGCCGAGATTGCGCCATTGCGCTCCAGCCTGGGCGATAGAGGGAGACTCCGTCAGGGAGGGAGAGAGAGAGACAGGAAATCTGGGGTGCACACGGCACAGGCCCCTGGCCTGTATCTCAGAGTGAGAGCCTGGAGGCAATACCGCTCTCGGCCACAAGAGGGGGATGTGTGCTCAGGAACGTGAGCTCCAAAGCTGGAAACTGCTGCACTGGCACCTGGCGTTGGCAGCTCCCACCCGGGTCACCCTTAGTCACTCCTAGCTTTATTGCTCACTGCTCAGTGCGTCTGTTGGAAACCCTGTTCTTGAGGAAAAGCAGACAGAACTCACATGCTCACTCTTGCACCGTTCTGCCCGAATTTGGCACATCGCCCCCAGCCTCACATCCCTCACCAATTTCCTATCATTGCCCAGGACCCATAAGACCTGCCGGGCTCGGATGCCCTGGTCCAGCTTCTGGCCTCCTTCCCTGCCCCTGCCACCCCACATGCTCTGTTTTGAGACAACAGTGGGCTTATGTCAGCTGTCATCGCGGGCACTCACTTCTGCCATCAGCGCACCTTCCTGCATCCTGCTAGTTTTTGTTTTGTTTTGTTTTTTTTTTTTTTTTTTTTGAGACAGAGTCTTGCTTTGCTGCCCAGGCTGGAGTGCAATGGTGCGATCTCAGCTCACTGCAACCTCTGTCTCCCGGGTTCAAGCAATTCTCCTGCCTCAGCCTCCCGAGTAGCTGGGATTACAGGTGCAGGGTTTTAGTAGAGACAGGGCTTCACTGTGCTGCCCAGGCTGGTCTCGAACTCCTGAGCTCAGGCAGTCCGCCCACCTTGGCCTCCCAAAGTGCTACGATTACAAGCATTAGCCACCACACCTGGCCTACTTTATTATTATTATTATTTTTGAGACAGAGTCTCACTCTGTTGCCCACCCTGGAGTGCAATGGCATGATCTCAGCTCACTGCAACCTCCACCTCCCAGGTCCTGGTTCAAGCAATTCTCCTGCCTCAGCCTGCCAAGTAGCTGGGACTACAGGCATGCACCACCATGCCTGGCTAATTTTTGTATTTTTAGTAGAGAAGAGTTTTAGCAGGGACAAGGTTTCACCATGTTGACCAGGCTGGTCTCAAACCCCTGACCTCAAATGATCTGCCTGCCTCGGCCTCCCGAAGTGCTGGGATTACAGGTGTGAGCCACCAGGCCCAGCCTGATTTATTTATTTTTAGTAAAGATGGGGTGTCGCTATGTTGCCCAGGCTTGTCTTGAAATCCTGGCCCCAAGTGATTCCCCTCCCCCGCCCCACCTCAGCCTCCCAAAGTGCTGGGATTACAGCTGCGAGCCACTGTGCCTGGCCCAAAATCACTTTCTAAATTTGCCCCTTTCATCATATTTTCCTGTTGTGAACGTTTTATGTCATGTGTACCCTGAGGCCCCCTGACAGCTCTCCTCGGGCCCCCTCTGCTGCCTCCTGTGTTATATGTGATCGGAGCACCCCCAGAGCTTCGTCATCTGTGACGAGCACCCGCCCTCTCTGCAGTCAGAATCATCGGCTGATGAATAAGGGCTGATTTCTTCTCAAATGATCACAACCCCCAATTCATTACCTTCCAAAGACTGAGCTCAGAATGGCTTATCTGACGCTTGGTGCGGCTGTGCTTTCCTGGGATACCATTCACTGAGGACGCAGCTTCTCTCCCGTGTGATGTTCTCGGGCGCAAGTTGTGACGTGGGTTCCACGCTCCCCTGTGATTTTCGCATCTCCCATAACTGCTCGCCTCCGTCTGAGGATTTTCCTCCGCTGGCGCCATTCATCGGGAGTCTCTCTAGTATGAATTATGAGATGAATGGAAATTTTCCCTCATTCATCATATTCAAAGCTTTCCTCTGCCCTGTGAATTCTTTGATATTCTACTAGAATCCTGACCAAATGTTTTGCCATGTGTATCAGACCAGTAGAGTTTAGGCGCAGAATCTGCAATTTCCCCAAAGTGGTACCTTTTTTTTTTTTTTAAGAGATGGGGCCTTGCTGTGTTGCGCAGGCTGGAATGCAGTGGGATGATTATAGCTCACTGCAGCCTTGACCTCCTGGGCTCAAGTGATCCTCCCATCTCAGCTTTCTGAGTTGAGTAGCTGGGACTACAGGCACACACTGCCATACCTGGCTAATTTTTTTTTTTTTTTTTTTTTTTTTTTTGGAGATAGAGTCTCACTCTGTCACCCAGGCTGGAGTGCCGTGGCGCGATCTCAGCTCATTGCAACCTCTGCCTCCAGGGTTCAAGCGATTCTCCTGCCTCAGCCTCCCGAGCAGCTGGGACTACAGGTGCATGCCACCATGCCTGGCTTTTTTTTTTTTTTTTTTTTTTTTGTATTTTTAGTAGAAACGGGGTTTCACCTTGTTGGCCAGGATGGTCTCAATATCTTGACCTCGTGATCTGCCCACCTCGGCCTCCCAAAGTGCTGGGATTACAGGCATGAGCCACCATGCCTGGCCAAGTCTAGAGTTTTATATAGCCTTGGAGCTTTCTTCTAACTTTAAAAGCTACTGGTTGGGCGCAGCTTTGGGAATCCCAGCATTTTGGGAGGCCGAGGCAGGTGGATCACCTGAGGTCAGGAGTTGGAGACCAGCCTGGCCAACATGGTGAAACCTTATCTCTACCAAAAATACAAAAATTAGCCAGGCATGGTGATACACATCTGCAATCCCAGCTACTCGGGAGGCTGAGGCAGGAGAATCACTTGAAGCTGGGAAGTAGAATTTGCAGTGAACCAAGGTTGCGCCACTGCACTCCAGCCTGGGTGACAGAGAGAGACTCCATCTCAAAAAAGAAAAAAGAAATTAAAAAACCTAGTAAGTTAAATATGTTCTTGGTAATTTGGTATAGATGGTAAGAACTAGTCCTTACTGTTGGGACTGCCTGTGAGAACTACATTTCCTAGAAAGCCAAGTCTTCTAGATGCTGCTGAATTTTGACTTGGCAAACAGGTCGGCAGGTCACTGAGCATTCAGGGGTGAGGGAAAGGGAGTGCCCTGGCCAGCTGCCTCTCCATCTGCTTACCAGAGGCCGTGTATTTACCAGTTCTTTCCAGGCCACAGGAGACAGCCAGCTGCTGACTGCATTGCTCCAGTCCTGGACTTGTAAAGCTGGAATACCATGTACAGTGAGTGTCCACAATACCCTCGGCTGGGCGCAGTGGCTCACGCCTGTAATCCCAGCACTTTGGGAGGCTGAGGTGGGCAGATCGCTTGAGGCCAGGAGTTCCAGACCAGCCTGGGCAACATGGTGAAACCCCATCTCTGCTAAAAGTACAAAAATTAGCCAGGCATGGTGATGCACGCCTGTAATTCCAGCTACTCAGGACACTGAGACAGGAGAATTACTTGAACCCAGGAGGCAGAGGTTGCATTGAGCCGAGATTGTGCCATTGCACTCCAGCCTGTGCGAGAGAGCAAGACTCAGTCTCAAAAAAAAAAAAAAAAAAAAAAGAGTGCCCTCTCAAATCCCTCCTCTAATGATGATCCCTGGCCAAATTGGATAAGAAATTACCGGCCAGGCGCAGTGGCTCATGCCTGTAATCTCAGCACTTCAGGTGGCCAAGGCAGGCAGGTCACCTGAGGTCAGATCAGCCTGGCCAACACGGGAAAACCCTGTCTCTACTAAAAATACGTAAATTAGCCGGGCGAGGTAGCACGTGCCTGTAGTCCCAGCTGCTCCGGAGGCTGAGGCAGGAGAATTGCTTGAACCTGGTTAGTGGATGTTGCAGTGAGCTGAGATCGTGCCACTGTACTGCAGCCTAGGCAACAGAGTGACAGTCTGTCTCAAAAAGAAAAGAATAAAAGAGTCCTGCCCCCACACCCCCTTCTTCAGCCCGTCAACGCCACAAAAAGTTCCCCAAGATTCCAAGTCTAGTAGTCAAGGAGCACTTCCAACCCCTACTAAAGCCATGTTCATGAGCAAACTCAGGCTCTCCACCCGCAGCCACTGGAATTTCCGCTGTGGGGACTGGGGGACAATCTTGAGCCATGGAAGCCTTGAGGCTGCTGGGACTCAAGAATCTGTGACGATGCTCTCAGTTTCATGAGTCTTGTATTCCGGTTTATTTCTGCTCCACTGTGTCTGGGGCTTCTCTCCTCCCAGCATCTATGAGGGCTGAAATGGCTTTTGCAGTCACTTGACTGGTGCCTCATGTCCTTCCACGGGGTCTCTGTCCCCGACAGAGCAGCCTTGTCTTCTCACACAGTTACTGGGCGCCTCCATGCACGGTGGCTCACACCTGTGACCCCAGCACTTTGGGAGGCCGAGGCGGACAGATCACCTGAGGTCAGGAGTTCAAGAGCAGCCTGAACAATATGAAGAAACCCCATCTCTACTAAAAATACAAAATTAGCCAGGCATGGAGGGGCGGTTGTTGGGCTCTGAGAACCTTCTATGGATGTTCTCCGCCACTGCGCCATCCATCACCTGTGCCACCCCCGGCCCCTCTGTGGAAACCGCTACCCAGGCAGCTGTGTCATGCCATGTGACCCTGCCTCTCTGCCACTCTCAGCCCCCAAATATACAGTTCACTGGACCAGAATCCCATATAGGCTGACCAACAAGTTTTGATGACGTCATCTGGCTCAAAAATGTAGGGAAAGCCAGCCAGGCCAGTCAGATGGCCTCTTTTGGAAACTGGAGCCAAAAAACCAGACAGTAGAGGCCAGGCATGGTGTCTCATGCCTGTAATCCCAGTACTTTGGGAGGCCAAGGCGGGTGGATCACCTGAAGTCGGGAGTTCAAGACCAGCCTGACCAACATGGAGAAACCCCATCTCTACTAAAAATGCAAAATGAGCCGGGTGTGTTTGGTGTGTGCCTATAATCCCCTCAGGGAGACTGAGGCAGGAGAATCTCTTGAACTCGGGAGGCAGAGGTTGTGATGAGCCGAGACTGCACCATTGCCCTCCAGCCTGGGCGACAGAGCAAAACTCTGTCACAAAAAAAACAAAAAAAACAAAAAAAAAAAAAGCAAAACAAAACAAAACAAAAAAACCCAGACAGCAGAATCAGTGAGCCACAAGATCTCCTGAGGTCAAGTAGGGCCTGTTGGGACCAGTGCACTGGCCAAAATTACACTGAAGAAGAAACTTGGCGATTGAAGCAAACTCAAAATAAGCTATGCCATGGAGAAAATCCCCTCGTTGTGGAGGGAAAGTGAGCTTGGTTTTGGCAAGAAGATAAAGGCGGAGAGGGCGAGCACGGAGCTGGGACTCCATGAAGGGCTGAGGGAAGCCAGCCCAGGGCTGCCGCCTGCCGGTGGGTCACTGCAGCCAGCTTGCCACTTGTTCCCTAGGCTGTCAGTTGGGTTAGAAGTGGGCGGGTGACTTAGCTGTGCTGGTAAAACGTATGGGGACGTGGCTGGGACCATCCTGAGGTCACGAGGCAACAAGGCCAAGGGGAACAAGACCATGCTCTGCCTGAGGATGGCAGAGCCTGCGTCCCCTGTGACAGCACTGAGCTGCCGTCCTATCCTGGAAGCCCCACGTCCAGTCTTACTGATCTGGAAGCCACGTGTCTTTATTTTCTAGGCAGATTTCTGCTACTTGCAGCCTAAAGCATTCCTCATCCCTTCGCAGAACCCCGTGGCACCTGCTGTGGCTCCCAATGGAAAATCAACCTAAGTTTAGACATTAGAAATTGAGTGGTTGGTCAGTTGCTCATATGGAGGGAATAAGAATCAGGACTGGTCCTAGCGGAATCCCAGCTCTGAGTCCTAACCTCAAGGCCTAGGGGACACAGACAGGAAAGAGATATTCAGGAAAGTTCCAGACATCTAAAACAAGGCTCAATGATGAACTATAACAATTCAGTGGGGCTTTATTCATTTTTTTTTAATGTGTTTTTTTTTTTTGCCAGAGTCTCTCTCTGCCGCCCAGGCTGGAGTGCAGTGGCATGATCTTGGCTCACTGCTCCATGTCCCAGATTCAAGTGATTCTCCTGCCTCAGCCTCCCAAGTAGCTGGGATTACAGGCATGTGCCACCACGCCCGGCTAATTTTTGTATTTCTAGTAGAGACGGGGTTTCACCATGTCGGCCAGATGGTCTCTATCTCTTGACCTCGTGATCCACCCGCCTCGGCCTCCCAAAGTGCTGGGATTACAGTCGTGAGCCACTGCGCTCAGCCTCAGTGGGGCTTTAATGCCGGACGTTTGGAGTGTGAGCAAGGAACTAACTGGAAGAAGTTGATGGCAGCTGGAACTAAACTTGTGGGACACTAGGCTTTTTGGTTACTCTCTAGCCATCAACCTGAGTGATGTTTTAGATTCTCAGGAATAAGGTGTCCTCAGTTGCCATTCTCTGTGTGCACAGCCACAGCTCCTCCAGCCCCCCGCCCCCCGCAATTTTGTTTATTCCTCATCTCCCCCACCTCTCTTCTTTTTTCTCCACATTTTCTTTTTGGGTTTTTTGTTTTGTTTTGTTTTGAGACAGAGTCTCATTCCTGTTGCCCAGGCTGGAATGCAGTGGCACGATCTCAGCTCACTACAACCTCCGCCTCCCCAGTTCAAGCGATTCTTCTGCTTCAGCCTCCCAAGTAGCTGGGATTACAGGTACATGCTACCATGCCCAGCTAATTTGTATATTTTTAGTAGAGACAGGGTTTCACCATGTTGGTCAGGCCAATCTCGAACTCCCAAACCTGTGATCCGCCCGCCTCGGCCTCCCAAAGTGCTGGGATTACAGGAGTGAGCCACCGTGCTCAGCTGCTTTCTGGCTTCTCTAAGCAAAGCAAGGAGCCAGAAATCTACAACACCTACTTCACTTCT